ACATTATCCCACTTATTACATGGCTACTTGCCACATAAGTAAATAATTAGACACAAAATAGATGTTGAAATATTTGAAAGCAAAGATTTCCTTGAATACAGCAGTTGCTAGCAAGCGGCAAGTTCAAACTAATTGGACATTTAAGGGAAACGGTGCAGTCATACCACTTATTACACAACATTTCACCACATAAATAATTATGGCAATAAAAGATATTGATTTAAGACAAAACTGTTTTAAAATCTTACCAGTTTGTTAGTTATCTTATAATCCATTACAATGTACAAAACAATCGTTGCAAAATGGCAGCAGCTGCATTTGTTTGAAACGAGAGAGTGAGTCCGTGATACCAGGACGACATAATTAAATAATTGTACACATAATATTGAATTGAGTTTTAATATTTTATTACCTAACCAAATGCAAATCTTTCACAAAGAAAAACTGTTCCTAGCAAGAGTATAGCGCCAACTTCAGTTACCCGGATGAGACTGTGTTATCAGCTTTTACCGGTTGTTATCAAGGGATAACTAAATACTTATTTGTGTAACTACACTGCCACAAAGACACATTAAAGTTTGACCAAAGTGCTGACATAACCACTATAATTCGGCATAACAATCATTCGTTCATATTAGGGACGTTCATTTCGGTTATTTTTCCTAACCAACAACCAATGCTTGTTAACCATTAACTGACAAGATTATTTTAAATTAGAATTGAATTAAATTAGAAAGGATAAGTGTCTGTGACCCATTAAAAATACTAACATTTGTTTCCCGGGGATTAATTTTACATGCGCAAAAAGCAGCAAACGACAGAACATGAGGATTCACATGGCCATCATATCACATCACGCACCTGCAGCGCTTCTGCCAGCGGAGAAAAACATAATAAAGCTAGGCTATATATATATATATATATTAGGGCTGTCAATAGATTAAAAGTTTTTATCAGATTAATCACACCCTTTTTCTGTGATTAATCGCGATTAATCGCACACTTCATGAAATTAAGCATAGACCATTTATCTTGTTTCAAATGGTTATTTTGTCATCATTTACTATATTCAGCAAAGTAAACCAAAAGATTGAAGGGTGTAAATCCAGATAAAAATAATCTGTATTTTCTGCAAGCTTTTCTCAGGATAAATGTAGATGTCATTTCAAAAAAGGACTCCAAAAGGACACCAAAGAACCAAATGATATAAGGAGCCCATATAAGCACATATGACTGTGCCTGTGCATAAATACAATGTGCGATCAGTGCATCAAGAGCACTCATACACGCATTAATATAACGGACTTACGCGTGCTTACTGTACGACTCCTGTATGCCACCGCAATTGTCTCGTCTTTACCTTGATTGCAGTCTTCATCCATCAAAACTTTACTAGCGAGACTGGTTATCCAGTCGAAAAACCATAGTTTGCGTTTCATCTGGCTATACAGCGGTGGGATGTGTTGACAATCCGTTCAGCCTTTACTTAACACAGCGCGTGTGATGTGTGAGGGCTTGCGCTCTCTGAAAACGTAACGCCAGTCTCTGTTCTCTCTGCAATCTCTGATGTAATCAGCCTGGTTTCCTTTATATTAGTGCTATTTTGGACGGATTGTTTGAATGCATTCGCTTACTGGATCATTGGCTTGAAAACTTTCCCGGAGTTTAGGAGCTTAAAATGATCTGATCGCAAGCAGAGAAGCAACAGTAATTTTGCGTTAACTGCGTTAAATAATTTTAACGCGTTAAGGATTGTAAAATTAATCACATGCGTTAACGCGTTAAATCAGATTAATCACACCCTTTTTCTGTGATTAATCGCGATTAATCGCACACTTCATGAAATTAAGCATAGACCATTTATCTTGTTTCAAATGGTTATTTTGTCATCATTTACTATATTCAGCAAAGTAAACCAAAAGATTGAAGGGTGTAAATCCAGATAAAAATAATCTGTATTTTCTGCAAGCTTTTCTCAGGATAAATGTAGATGTCATTTCAAAAAAGGACTCCAAAAGGACACCAAAGAACCAAATGATATAAAGAGCCCATATAAGCACATATGGAAGAAAAAAAAAAGAAAAAAAAATATATATATCTGAATTGTATAGTATGTGTACAGTGCAACAGCAAATAGCTCTTTTACATTTTAGAGAAGTCAAGTTGCATAACCGAACAGGACCACATGGTGATGCCAAAAAATCCCTAAACCAACCGCCTGCTGCTGCATATATCTACTACAGTACACTACACGGATCCATTCCGTATAACTAAACACAACAACATACACATGACAAATCAAAACATTATCGCGAATGTGTGTGGAAACAATGTGAATGTACGGAAATGTCTGTGCCTGTGCATAAATACAATGTGCGATCAGTGCATCAAGAGCACTCAAACACGCATTATTATAGTGGACTCACGCGTGCTTACTGTACTGTACGACTCCTGTACGCCACCGCAATCATCTTTACCTTGAT